GGGATTCTTAGCGCAGAACTCGGTGGGAAGGGCGGCACGCAGGCGAGCATCACTAGTGCGAAGGTGAGTGATAAGATCGGCGACTGTAGCAAAGGTGGACAGCTCAGGGAACAGGTACGGCAGCATGAGGCGGCTAAGCTCGGCTGTGGCAGGCGAGGAGTAGCGAGCAACGACAGCATCGTACAGGGCCTTAGCGGATTTGCAGTCGCCAAAATGCTCGAGCTCAGCTAGCGGCAGGTGACTGCGAATGGCTAGGCGAGCAGCTGCGTCACGAGTCTGCCAGTGGGAACGAACACTAAGCTCAGCTGTGGCAGGAGGGGCAGGTGCAGCACCAGACGCGTAATCATAGAGCGACACATGCTCCTTGCTATCGCTCAGAAGGAACAGCTGCAGGTCATCCAGCCAAGTGGCGAACTTCACAGGGCGGCCCTCAGCATCGAACGACAGCACGCGGATGGAAGCCATAGCGACAGTGCGACTGAGCAAAGGAAGCTGCCGCAGCGCTGCAGGTAGGTAGCTCGGCGGGAAGCGCGGCGGGCGGGCGACGCGGCGAGCGGGCAGTGCGGGGGGCGGGCTGCGAAGCGGGCAGCGCGGTGCTGCAGGCGGGAAGTGCGGCGGGCGGGCTGCGAAGCGGGCAGCGGGGCGGGCGGGCGACGCGGCGAGCGGGCAGCGCGGCGGGCGGGCTGCGAAGCGGGCAGCGGGCGGGCGGGCGACGCTGCAAGCGGGCAGCGGGCGGGCGGGCGACGCTGCAAGCGGGCAGCGAGGCGGGCGGGCGACGCTGCGAGCGGGCAGCGCGGCGGGCGGGCTGCGAAGCGGGCAGCGGGCGGGCGGGCGACGCTGCAAGCGGGCAGCGAGGCGGGCGGGCGACGCTGCGAGCGGGCAGCGCGGCGGGCGGGCGACGCTGCGAAGCGGGCAGCGGGCGGGCGGGCGACGCTGCAAGCGGGCAGCGGGCGGGCGGGCGACGCTGCGAGCGGGCAGCGCGGCGGGCGGGCTGCGAAACGGGCAGCGCGGTAGGCGGGCGACGCTGCGAGCGGGCGGCTCGGCGGGCGGGCGACGCTGCGAGGGGCGCGCGAGGGCGCTAACGAGAGGCGCACGAGGGCGCTAACAAGGGGGCGCGAGGGCGCTAGCGAGGGCGCGCGAGGGCGCTAACGAGAGGCGCGCGAGGGCGCTAACGAGGGCGCGCGAGGGCGCTAACGAGGGCGCGCGAGGGCGCTAACGAGGGCGCACGAGGGCGCTAACGAGGGCGCACGAGGGCGCTACGAGGCTAGGGCACGGGGTAGCGTGGTAACCGCATGCGAGCGGTGGTGGGCCCTTAAAAAAAACGGTCGGTAGGTCCTAGGGACCTCCTGCTCTGAATACCATGTTAACAGAACTAGGCAAGAATGGGTGCATTGAAAGAAACAGTTGGGTACAAGTAGCTAACCCTAGTTGGGTTTGTACCCTGTATTGGCTACCCCACTACAGCCTACCTACATATAAATAACACATTACAACTTAACAGTGCGAGAGCCGTTTTATCACGTCGGTAATTACTTCAGGCTACCGCCTTCCATGGGCCTCATCAGAACCGACCCTGCATCATGCAGCCAATCACGCCGGCGCGATGCACTTTATCACTTTCGCGGCCGAGGCGGTGGCTGAGCTGTTGGCGACGGGCGCGGCCCGGGTAGTACCCTCATCATTGTCGCTAACATGCATTAGCCCATTGAACGTGGTCGTCCAACCCTCCAAGAAGAGACTCATCTTGGACCTCCGTCACGTCAACTCATTCCTTTCAGTCCCTAGATTTCGCTACGAGGGGCTTAATCGGGTACCCGATTTGGTGCAGAAAAACGATTGGTTATTCACAATTGATTTGAAGTCGGGATACCATCACGTGGATATTCATATGTCGTTTTGGCGGTTCCTCGGTTTCACTCTCCAAGGACGTTGCTACCAATTTCTATCTCTTCCATTTGGGTTGGCCACCGCGCCATTCGTTTTCACCCAATTGATTAAACAACTTGCAAAACGCTGGCGTAGCCGCGGCATCCGATTTTTCCCATATGTCGACGATATTCTCGTTATCAGCACCACTCGGACTGAGGCCCTTCGCAACCGCGCGGTCATTCTGGATGATCTGGGATGCGCTGGGTTCGTTATAAATACGAAGAAGTCGCAACTCAAACCGAGGCAATGCCTCAAATTTTTGGGCCTCATGTTAGATACTCGCACAACTTCGTTTTCTGTCGACGCCGATCGCCGGGAACGGTTGCTCGCAGAACTTCGGCAAACTTGTGCCATCGGCGAGGAGGGACATCGTATCCCAGTCCGTCGTGTCGCACGCATAACCGGCATGCTAGCCTCGATGACTCTGGCGCTGGGTGCCATGGCACGCGCCTTCTCCCATCACCTGCTCTCACAAATCGCGGACTTCCCTTCTTGGGGCGCAACGATCCGATTGAGCACGAAGTCCGTGGATGAGTTGCGGTTCTGGCTCTCGTAGTTCGATGGATTTAACGGGTCGTGTTTTCACAACCAACACCTATTCGACGTGGTCATGTACGTGGATGCCAGCGATCATGCGTGGGGTGCGTGCTTCTCTACACCGGATGGCCGTGTGGGCTCTTCTTCATCCCCATTACCCCAGGCTCTCACGGCTTCATCTAGCACACTTCGTGAGCTCGTTGGAATTCTATGGGCTCTTTCATCATTTGCGGCTGAGATCCGGCGATGTCATATCCTACTTCGCAGCGATAATCAAGCCGCTTATTACATCCTCAAGAAAGGAGGATCTCGCCGCCTCGAGCTAACACTCATCTATCGGGCCATTATTCAACTCTGTGTGCACCACAAGATTCGCCTGACTGCCCAGTGGATCCCGCGCAGGCTTAATACCGAGGCAGATGAGTTGTCGAAGATCGAGCTCCAAGACGACTACTTCCTCGCTCGGCCATGGTTCCTCCTACTTGAGCGGCGCTGGGGGCCACACTCAATCGACCTGTTTGCCTCAGCTGCTAATGCTCAGCTCCCTCGCTTCTGCTCCCTCGAGCACTGTAGCTCTGCCTTCGAGCAAAACGCATTTTCCTTCAGCTGGGAAGGGGAAAACTGCTACGCATTCCCCCCACCCCCCCTTCATTCCAGCGGTTCTTGCCCATGCTCGCCGCTCGAACACCTCGCTAGTGGTCCCACGATGGCCTAGTGCTTTTTGGTGGCCACTGGTGCACCCCAATGGTTGGGCGGACGAAGTCGTTGCCACACTGCGTCTTGCCGTCGGTTCTGATTGTTTGTGCGTCAGTAGCGATCATCTCGCCTTCAGCGGCGCTGGTTTTCGAAACTCTCCTATGTATGCCCTTCCCTATATATTCGCTAATGCATAATATTCCTTGTACGCAGGTTCTGGGCTTGGCCATTTACTCTTGGACCTTTTAACGCTCACTGTTAGTCTTCGCGCTCTGTCTACTATTCGCACATATGAGCCATACTGGAGACAATATTGTGAATTTTGTATTCAACACTCACTTCCGTTCCTTCCTGGGAGTGACCTAACTGTCGCTTTGTTCTTGCTACACACCGTTCGTAATGACGCCCCGATCTCAGCTATACGATCTGCATGTTTCGCGATTTCATGCGCCCATTGGCTGATCGGCGAATTGTCCCCCCCTTCGCAGACCACTCTCGTCCCAAGTGAAGGAGTACGCACAGCGTCACTGCATACGGCCATCTCGGGTCAAAGAGCCAATACCACCCTCCAAGATATACGGCATATGTGACATTTACTTTGCGTCCTCAGACCCTGCTACATTCCAGCGAGGACTAGTTCCCCTTTTGATGTTCACAGCATTCCTGCGCTATTCAGCTTTGATTTCTCTCCAGTGGCACTACATCGAGTTCAACATGGACTGCATGTGGTTGTTCATCCCTCGTTCGAAGACCGACCAAGCCCGCAGGGGCGTGAGGGTGTCGGTGGCGGCCTCCTCTGCTCGCCATTGTCCGGTCTCGCGAGTCCAACAGTTTCTTTTCATCACTGGTTACTCCAGAGATACTGTTGGGCCACTTATACGGGTATTCCGGCCTGCGGCCCGGGCATCTCCTTCCGACCATTCCCCCTCGTACGCTACCATTCGGGGCTGGTGCCGCGATGACTTTTCTCGTGTCAGTCCTAACCTAGAGTATCTTGGCACCCACTCGTTCCGTAAGTCGGCCGCAACCGTGGCAGTTGATGTTGGTGTTCCCGATCGGCGGGAACCGTGCCGCTCCTCTGAAAGTCGTGTCACAATACCGGTATAAGAAATTTTTTATACCGTAATAAAAAACATTACAGATTGTGATTCAATTTGAAGAAGGGTGTGCTGTACAGGAGACAAGCTCTTTCATCTTTCGGCAGGTCTTGGAGACCTGCCACCTAGTCTCATTTGCAATTTTCAACTCTCTTGCTCCCACCCTCCACTCCCCATTTCCCACCTAGGTTTTGTTTCAACATAATACTGTGCCTATTGATATTGAGTGTGCTGTATTTTTGAGATTTGAAATGCTATGATGACTGCACTGCACACTCCTCTGAAAGTCGTGTCACAATTAGACCTGTCACAGTCCATCAGTGAAGGACGAAACATCATGTTCACCTAAATCCTGTCCAATGTGCAACCGTTAGGGGCCGTCACAAATCAGGATCACGCGCCTGCGATCCTCTACCGCCGCACAGGGGTGGTAAATTCATGTCACTTTGCAGGCGCGCCAGCTTATTCTGTCAGGACTCGCATCGCAACCAGTGAGGCCCTTGAGAGTCGAACGAAGCGAAAACGGATGTAGACTCGCTGCAGATTTAAAACTTGTTACCCTCTTAAAGATGATTAAAAAATGAAATAATACATGGGCGTATAATAAATCAGGGTTTCACAAAAGGTGCGCACAATCGAGGACCGGCCATAAGAGCAGTGCTCCAGATAGAAGCGCATGCTCTTATCATAGGTCTGCGCTTATTTCCGGGGCCTTACGGTACAGAGACAGCCTGCGGGAGGTCAGTTGTCACAGACTCCTTTCGCAAGCTTGACTTTGTCGGGCAGGCACACGCGGGTTGCTTTGACGAGCTTGTCGATGCAGTCGTATCCGTTAATGTGCTTGTAGCAGCCCTTGATGCCCCGGAAGTACTTCACCTGAAGGGCTGTGCACCTGTCGCCTGTCCCCACCACATACGCATTCGCACGCGGGCACTTACCCTGAGTATACGACGTGGAGCTTGCAATGCATGCCTGTGGAAAGGGGAGGGGAGGGTGGAACGAAGAAGAAAAAGAGAAGAGTAAAAAGAGTGCAGACACGAAAGAACCAGCAGCTTAGCTGTCATGAGAGAACCAGCTAGGCAGTAAGCATGAAGGAGAAGACAAGACAGTAGATGAGAGAGAAGAATGAAGATTGATCCACAAAGAAGGAAAGAGAGGTATGAGAAGAGCCAGTGCAACACACGCACCTCAAAGCCGGTGAAACCGTCAACATTGGTCTTTGGAATGAGGCGGCTGCACTTGATGCCGCGGTTGAGGCGGAAGAAGTCAACAGGACTCAGAGCGGGGAAGGGCACGTTGCGGATGGACTCGCACGTCTCTGCGCTCTGCACCAGGTAGTACTGCGAGCACACCGGGATGAGCCCCACTTGATCCCTTATGCGCTCCACACACACCGCCTGCTCGGGCTGCAGCAGCCCGCCGTTGGCAGTGCAGTCCAAGCTGGGGTTGAGCGCCTGGAATTCGGCTGTACAGGCGTCAGATGGGCAGTCTGACGAGAGTAGTGTGAAATACAATGCTAGATCTGCACAGGTGTCGCCCTGAGAACAAGATACAGGGAGGAGGAGGTAAGAGGAAGAGGGAGCAGTGAGCGAGTGAGTGTAAGGGCTCCAATCAGTGAAGAAATGTGAGGCAAAATGAGCGGTTTATGTGAGGTTAGAAATGGAGGTTGAGGTGAGATGGATAAGGAAGGGATGGGGAATGGCAGAGGACATGTGTGAAGGTGAAGATCCAGGAAGAATAAAGGTGGTGTATTGGCAGGAAGGGTGCGAGATGGAAACCTGCTGAGTGGTGTAGTAGACGGAGCAGGGGATGAGAGAGGCTGGGCTGGCCACTTTGAGAACCGTGGAGGGTGGGATGGGTGCTGCACACGACACCGATGGCTGCACACACCGAGGGTGGGGGGATGAAGAGATATGATACAGCCCATGCACGCATAGGAAGGAGAGCTTGTGTGTGAGTTGCAGGGCAAAAGACACGGAGACAACTGCTGGTGAGGTGTGAGAGCAGGAAATGCATGGATCTATAAATCTACTTGTAACAATTTTGAGATTTCTCAAAGGGTGTGGGTAACGCACGTTCTGGGTTTGGAATTCAGCGAGCGTGAGGCCGTAGACCGGGAAGACGTCGGAGCAGCGGACGTTGGGAGAGAGCACGGTGTAGGTGTTGCTGGTGTCACCTGCATGCAGCACAGCATGGAATAAAAACCTCGAGTACGGTCAGACAAAACGTTTTAAACTTGACCATGCTCTTTTTCTTACAGTTTTAAATACGACGCTCTCATTCCTTTGTTGTGCTGCATTACAGCTGTGGCGGGGCACAGCGAATCTAGGTGTTACGAATCTTCACAAGTTTCTATCGTGGGCTCAATTTTCATGCTGAACTACAGTTGTTCGCGAATCTCACAACTACTCATGGGTGTCGCATGCTGGCCCGGTCCCTCGACCGAGCCAGTCCATCTCCTTTATCAAAGACCCATCTCATAACTCAAAACAATGTAATTTAAAAAAATCCAAGCCATAAGCACAGGAGAAGCTACCTCGAGCACAGGAGAAGGTACCTGGAGCACAGGAGAAGGTACCTGGAGCACAGGAGAAGGTACCTGGAGCACAGGAGTAAGTGCCCTCGGAAGTGGTGCCCTGCCTGAAGCCCGGTGGACACACACACGAGTACGACCCCGCCCCGTCATTCACACATTGCCCCACCGCACACGGATTGCGCTGGGCTGCCTTGCATGCATCCTCTGATGAGGGACACGGTGGAGAGGGGGGAGGGGAGGGGGGAGGGGAGGGGAGGGGAGGGGAGGGGAGGGGAGGGAGGGCAAGCGAGGAGGGAGATGGTGGGATGGAAGGGGAGAGGAGGAGAGCAAGTGGGAAGGGGATGAATGAGAGGAGGTGGTGGCTGTGAGAACGGTGAGAGGAGGCAAGCACTGAGAGGCTTTCAACTTGTAAGAACGTCAGCAAACAGTGTCAAACAAAATCAGGCAGCAACAGTAGCGGCAGCAGCAGCAGAGGCTTACTGTAGGCGCATGTGCGAGAGCCATCGGCGTTGGTTGCTTGGATGAAGCGCAGGTCGTTGCAGTCACACTCGTTTGTCTTGCCCTTCACAGTGCATGTGAACTTGCCGCAAGGATTGAAGAGAGAACCACCATTTCCATCACCGCGGGCCGCTTTGTTGCACAGTTCTTTTGCTGTAGGTAGTAGGCCCGGCAAGGAGGGCACAGAAGCAAGACAAGCGGGTTGTGAAGCCAGCACAAGAGGGATTTGAAACCTGAAATGAAATCTGAAATAACGTTAATACCTGAACTGGTGTACAAAAAGCAGCCCATGTATGCAATCCCTCTTGCACGTGCACTCATCTTTCATCATACACTCTTCTTTGATCATTTACTCTCTCACCATTGGTTGATACAACAGTCATCATTGGTTGATACAACAGTTATCATTGGTTGATACAACAGTCATCATTGGTTGATACAACACTCACCATTGGTTGATACAACACTCACCATTGGTTGATACAGCACTCACCATTGGTTGATACAGCACTCACCATCGGTTGATACAACACTCACCTCTGACAACGGGGTAGAGGCCTGGCAGCGAGTTGATGCCGCACACGCCATCGCCCCCCTGGATGTCCATGCGCATGTGGCCCCCATCGCCCCAGTCAGGCCCCCATGAGTTGCGGATGATCCAGAAGGGCGGCGCCATGTGGGGGAAGCGCGAGTCCTTGCCCACCAGGCGGTACCCCACCAGCAGCACCACGTGGTTCAGCTTGTATGTGAAGCAATCGGGATCCTGGTACTTGTACAGCTGGGAAAGGGATGTATTGGGAAGGCAAGAAGTGATTAGCTGCCACCTGCCTGTGTTAGGTGTCAGAACTTGAGCTAAGAACCGATACATTAGCAATGAGCTTGAAGCTCTTTGGATGGGCAAGGAATGGATGGGGAAGGGAATCGGGGCAATCTCTGGGGATTGGGGGTTATCCCAAAGAAATTTCCAATTGGTGCGTTGGAGATTGCTTGGAGATCACATTTGGGTTTGGTTGGGATGTAGGTGTAACACAAAGTGCAAACTACACTAAGCCAGGATATAGAAAGTACAAAATACAAAGTGTGAGATTGAGGGCTAACAAGTTTTAGGGTGTCAGGTGTACGGACTGGGAGGATTGAAAACACCACGATGAGACAATACTCGAATCCGCACACTATTCATGGGAGGACACAAACAAGGACCCAACAATTACACACTCCCCCCCATGGGTTTGAACTCCATACAATTCCTCCACTCGCACCCTCCTATTCATTCACACCGTCTCACCCCATTGTAATCCTTAAACGTGTCAGCGGAAGCCTCAATGTGCACCACCACTGGCTGCCGCTGCACGGCCAGCAGCAGCCCAAACCAGCCGTAGAAGGACGTCGACTCAAAGCCGCTGATGGGGAACGTAGCGAGGGGCTGCTTGGGAAAGTGAAGAACAGGTATGGAGGAGGTAGGATGCATGAGGTATGAGATCTAAAGGAGGTTGGATGCATGTGGTATCTAGGCACTGAGTGTGAGAGAAGCTTGAGCAACACAGAAATCGACTGCTCGAACGGCAAGCAGCTTTCCTTGAGTGACTTTCAAGTTGAGTCTTCATGGCCACGCTGTACTAAGCTAACACGAGGTTCACTACTCACACGTGGGCTAGCAGTGCCACATGACACTCCGAACAGCTTCGCCAGTGGCTTCAGAAACGGATAGCAAAGAGGACTGCTGCTGCCTGCCTTCACGACAGCCTTCTTGGAATTCCCAGCCGACCCCTGGCTCTCCAACACGAGCCCGCCTCCTTTTTGCGCCAGCTTGAGCAGCAGCTGGAAGGCCTGAGAGGGCGTGCTGCCAGAGCAGCCGACCTTCATGGCGGCCTTCAGCTGCTTCACTGAGAGTGCCTGCACCGCTGCAGTGTTGGTCATTATGCCGTATGCCGCCTCGATACTGCCCACCACTGCGTACGCCCAGCAGTCGCCTGCCAGGAAATGCATGAGTCGGTTGCATAGAGGAAACGCATCAGGCATAGGAACAGTATTACTGCCATGTAGCATGGCAGCAGTGTCAATAGCCCCTTGCCCCCACTGCTCAGGTTTGGAGCAACTTGCAGACGTGGAGAGGTCTTGAGGGAATATTGAGCCGCACAAGCCTTACCCACCGTTGAGATTAACTGTTTTGAGCATGCATTACATTTGACTTAACCTCGTCATCCAGTGAGCGAGTCCCACCCCTCTGTTTTTCTTCTGGGCTACTGTACATTTTTGCACCAGCGATGTGTACTCGTGAGAGCGAGAGAGCGACACTGAAAATAAACGAGATTTTGATGAAGGATCCGGTATTTCAGAACCAAACCGCTTCGACCCACCGAATTGCCGGCACTTCAATCACATGAAGGCCGAACCTAGAACCAGAAAAGTAGGCTAATCAGTTCAACTCAAACCTATTCGACTAGAGCCCGGTCAGAGTTGGTTCGACCCGTAGTGGCTTAGTTCGTCCGTTCTTACAAGGAACAATGACTTAGGTACAGACTCGACGCAAGCCCAGCCCAGTTGGCCTCAACTCTCACTCGACCCGAGCCTAGATGGCTCGACGCGAGCCGGACCAAATACCAACACTGGATAGGGCATGAGGCATCCCAAACGAATGCAAACACTGTACGGCATGGCATGGAGCATTAGTTGGGGTCCAGGGGTACTCACCGCAAGTCAGGGTTTGAGTCCTGACAGGCCATGTGAAGTCAGGGCGAACCCATGAAGCTGCAGGTTGCACACCATACACGTCATTGCCATTCTGAGCAGCAACACTGCCCGAGCTGGCGTAGCGGAAAAAGGGATTCATCCCCGATATAGAGAGTGCCGCCTCACTGAATGTAAAACCTAGCGATGCATCTGCAATCGAGGAAAGAATACAGAGTGGACACGAGGAGGATTGCGGATGGAACAATTACTGGATGTAAGCATTCAAAACTGGTTCAAAATGCAATGATCTTGCTTGGACAAAACAGCAACCATATCACGTCATACCTGGAGTTGGCGGGATAGGAAAACCTGCAAGGAGAGAGAAAAGAAAAGATAAAGAAGGGTCAGATAGGGCTGTAGCCAATGTTCAACAACTTTCATTCATTACTGATGGGACAAACAGCAAGAAAAGGAAACAAGCGAGTGACAGGATGTGAGCAGGGATGCACTCACGCGTGGAAAGGTGCCAGGCGGAGACGACATGGCTTTGAGCCTGCGTGCCCGAGGCAGCAGTGAAGCCGATGGCAAAGGTGTACTGCGTTGTGGTTGGCGCGAGCTCCTCACACAGGGAGATGCGTGCCGACAGGAGGGGCTTGGTGGGGCGAGGGGACGCCTGGGAGGAGAGGAAGACGCGCAGGGAGCCATCGGAAGAAGGGTCGTACTCGATCCAGGCGTACTTGAGCTTGCCGTCATTGACAGAGAAGCTTGGCTTGGCTGTGACCACTGACACGACACTGCCGCCGGTGTTGATGCCCACGTGGTTGCTGTCAGGGTCGCTGTTGCCCGCATCCATCGACGTGTCAAACTCCACTGCCACGCTGCGCGCTCCCATCCCCGCATACCCCATGCCGCCCGCCACCGGTGTTGTGGGCGGGGTGGCATCAAAGGCCACCACAAAGGCAAAGCCTTCGGAGCCGGAGGCAGCAGGGCGGGTGAGAGTGAAGGAGAAGGAGGAGGAGAAGGCGAGCTGGCGGCCGCAGGAGTCCCCGATGAGCTGGTAGGAGAAGAGCGGCACGCGCGCTGCCAGGAACACACTGCCAGCCTTGGACGGCTGGGCGGGCGTGAGAGTGAGTGTGGCTGCGTCAACTGAGGCGTCTCCAGTGGCTGTGTACATGGCTCCTGTGGGCGTCAAATCCTGCTCAATCTTACCACCTGGAAGTGGGAGGGAGGCATAGAGATGCGAAAGAGGCGAGTGCAGAATTAGATTTCAAAAGCAACCAAATTACCACCGGTCCTTTTTCTTTTGTATTATTTTAAGAAGCAGCCTGTCACCACCAGCAGATATTAGCTCAGTCAAGGGAAGAAATCACGAAGAACATCGCATTTTTGGCAGCAGTACAAGTAGAGTGGGAACAATGCTTGCGCATGAAAAAAAAAAAGAGGTGCTGTAGAAACAAGGCATGGCATGGCACGGACACGTAATGCTCAGACGGTCAGGCTGCGAGTGGCTCACCTGCCACAGGCACGCAGCTGCCGAGATATTCCCCAACCACGAAGTTATCATCACAGAGGCATGTGGGCGTGTTGCTGGGGCCGTCCAAGAAGCACACGCCATGGCCGTTGCAGGCGGGTGAAGTGGGAGAGACACCGCAGAAGGCAGCGCACACGGCGTCAGTCTTCTGAGGACTGTCTCCACACACAAGGCCTTGTGCTGGCGCGTCCGCACAGTTGCCGCCAAACGTGAAGTAGCCTTGTTCACACGGTGGGGGGGAGGAGAACCCCTGACTCAAGTAGTTGTTGTCCAGCTTGTACGTCGTAATCGCTGGTGGCACGGGCTCAAGGACCTTCCCCGTGAGCTGATTGTTTCTCAAATTGCTGTGGGTGGAGGTGGATGGATGGGGGATAGACGGATAGCGAATGGAAGGACGGTGGATAAAAATATGAGGAATGCAACCCAACGGGGAAGAATATATGAGACAAGAGTGAATACTCTTATTCGCATGGCTGAAGCCTGGGAGCCCAGTTCTACTGAAAGAAGCATGAGAGGATAACTGAGCTGGGGCCATATGGGGGACTCATAGAGTGAACATTCCTATCTGCATGACTTGAGCCTGGGAGCCCACTTCTACTGTTGGAAGCACGAGAGGACAGCTGAGTTGAGGCCAAATGGCGGACTCACAGGGTTTCCAGCTCGGTAAGACCAGAAAGACCTTGTGGTATGGTGCCAGTGAGGCGGTTGGAGCTCAGGTCCCTGGATGTAACAGCAGGGAAGGGAAGTGAAGGAGAGAAACAAACAAGGCCCATCAGCGCACACATCTTCATGGAGAAGGCAAGTATGAGTTGCTGAGGACACCCATGGATTGAACTGAACTGTGCGAAAACTAGACTCAGACTCAACGCACTTGGAAGAACAGGAGGGGGTTTGGGAAGGAGAGACAAGGGTGGGTTGCAGGAGAGGGGGAGACAAAGGTGGGGTGGGAGGGGGAGGCAAATGTGGGGGTGAAGGAGAGTGGGGAAACAGTTAGTCGCAAAGAAACGGCAGTGTGAGCCTTACAGCAGTGTGAGGTAGATCAAGCCTGTGATATCGTCAGGTATAGTGCCAGTCAACAGGTTGTTGCCGACATTGCTGGGGGAAGAAAAGAGATGAGTGGCACAAAAACACAGAGACAGTGGAACAACTGAGCTGACTAACCGCAATGGAATGCATGCAGGGAGGCAGCAGTCGGAGATGTGATGGAATGGAAGAGACGGATTAGCTTAAGAGTGAGATGCAGAGAGGATGCATTCTTTGGTTCAAAGCGTTGTGCGCATGGGACACAGCTTTCCAAACAACGTTAAGACATGGCATGTCGATGCAGTGAGGCATGGTGATGCAGTGAGGCATGGTGATGCAGTGAGGCATGGTGATGCAGTGAGGCATGGTGATGCATGTTAGAATCTATCTTCTCTTGTAACCTGCATAGATGTTATAGGATAGGCTAGAGATAAGCACCCAAACTTAGTTTGGGTGTTCAAGCAGGGGTTACCCAATTTGTAGGTTGGAAACCCAACCTTGGTCCAATTATTGGACCCCAAAGGTTGGGTTGGGTAGAATTATTGGTTCACACCAATAATGTTGGCCCAACCCCAACTTGGCCAACATTATTGGACCCCACCAATAATTCCCCAACCTAACTTCATGGGTGGGGTCCAATAATGGTCACCTAGGCTAGGATCCAACCCATTCCCTATGTAAACCCCCATTCTCCTCAATTCAACAACAACTTCTCTTCCAACTTTTATTCTCACATGGTATAGAGCTCTTAAAAATCCTAGGCCTACGCTCCTAGTTTTTTTTTTAAGGCCGCCGCAACCCCCGGCCTCCTTTCTCATCTTTCCGCGGCTACCTCGCCTCCCTCCCCCTCTCCTCAAGCACTCCCTCCCTCTCAGCCCCGCGGCCTCCCACGCCGTCACGGCCTGCGCCGCTCCCTTCCCCGGCCCCACCGCCGCTTCCGCGCTCGCCTTGTCGCGGTCCCGCCGACCGCCACCGCCCGCCCCACTCCGCGGCCTCGACGCCGCCTCCGCGCCAACGCCACTGCGGCTCCACCAGCCGCCGTCGCCGCCGCCGCTCCCTTCCGCGGCCTCGTCGCCACCTCCGCGCCTGCACTGCCGCGGCTTCGCCAGCCGCCGCCGCTCGCGCCGCTCCCTCCCGCGGCCTTGTCGCCGCCTCCGCGCCTGCACTCCCGCGGCTTCGCCAGCCGCCGCCGCTCGCGCCGCTCCCTCCCGCGACCCCGTCGCCGCTTCCGCGCCGGCACTGCCGCGGCTTCGCCAGCCGCCGCCGCTCGCGCCGCTCCCTCCCGCGGCCTTGTCGCCGCTTCCGCGCCTGCACCGCCGCGGCTTCGCCAGCCGCCGTCGCTCGCGCCGCTCCCTCCCGCGGCCTTGTCGCCGCTTCCGCGCCTGCACCGCCGCGGCTTCGCCAGCCGCCGCCGCTCGCGCCGCTCCCTCCCGCGGCCTTGTCGCCGCTTCCGCGCCTGCACCGCCGCGGCCTCGCCAGCCGCCGCCGCTCGCGCCGCTCCCTCCCGCGACCCCGTCGCCGCTTCCGCGCCTGCACTGCCACGGCCTCGCCAGCCGCCGCCGCTTGCGCCGCTCCCTCCCGCGACCCCGTCGCCGCTTCCGCGCCTGCACTGCCGCGGCCTCGCCAGCCGCCGCCGTCCGCGCCGCTCCCTCCCGCGGCCTCGTCGCCGCCTCCGCGCTTGTCCCGCCGCGGCTGCACCAGCTGCCGCCGCCGCCTGCGCCTCTCCGCGGCCCCAACGCCGCCTCCACGCCAGCGCCGCCGCGGCCTCGTCAGCCGCCACCGCCAGCACCGCTCCCCTCACGGCCTCGTCGCCGCCTCCGCGCCAACGCCACCGCGGCCCCACCAGCCGCCGCCGTCCGCGCCGCTCCCCTCTGCGGCTTCGTCGCCGCCTCACCTCCCTCTCCTCCGTGACCACTGCGGGTCTCCCTGCGGCCGTCCTCCATGGCTACCGCCGCACCTTCCCCCGCCCCCCTCCCTCCTCCTATTGATACATCCTCCGTCGATAAGCTGCAGCTTGCCGCAGACAAATCCGCCGTCAATTGGCACTCCTTCGTCGGCAGCATCCGACGAGTTCTCTCCGACGCATGGGTTCCCCCCTACCGTGTCCTTGATGTCCTCCTCCGCCGTCCCCAGGCACTCCCCCCCACCGAACCTGAACACCCAGGCGAGACTCCTCCTCTCCCTCCCTCTCCCGGCGATCCTCCTCTTGAACCCGACCTCCAAAGCACAGGCGACCAAGCCGCCGCTGATGCAGACTTCATCTTACGCCGCCGTGCGTACCTTATCAAGAAAGCAGAGTACGATGCAGCAGTCGAAGCCTATGACCAGGCGGTTGCTGGCCGCAACGCTCACCTCGCCGTCGTCGCCAAATACAAAGACGACATGGCCACCCACATCCCGAAACTTATCGCCTGGACAACTGCTGACACTCGTGCCTGCACCGTTCTCCTTGGGGCTCTCCCTGACTCCCTCATGCGCCGCTTCCAGGCTCGAGAGCTTCGGGCCTCGGTCATCTGGGCAGAACTCCATGCGATGTTCGAACGCCGCGACATCAGCTCGGTCGGTATCCTGTTCCAAGAATACTTCTCAATCACCCTTGCTACCTGTGACGGAGCGGTCGACTACATCGGACGCATGCGGGAGGTAGCTGACCGTCTCGAAGCCCGCCAAGCCGGCCTCTCCGAACCTCTCCAAATCCATCGCCTCCTGTTTAACCTCACTCCCGACTATGAATCCCGCCTTCACGCCTTTACCGAGGCCAATCCCCTAGCCGATCTCGCCTCCGTTGAACAGTGGATCATAGACACCGAAGTCAAACTTCGCACCCCCGTCGTCAACCTCGCCTCCTCCCAACCCTCCTCCTCCTCCCTCAACGCTACTCAGCCCCGCAAGCAGGGCAAGAACAACGGCAAGGGGGGTGGTGGAGGCAAGGGAGGTAGCGGCCAAGGCAGCAGCAACGCGAACAGACGCAGCGGCACCACTGGAGACGAGCATGGCACCCCCAATACAGGCGGAGCATCTGCAACTAGTGGGACCCGCCCTGGTACTCTTCCGCCCTGCACCTATGTCCGCCGCTATGGTCCTCGGGCTGGCACCCCCTGCGGACAGACCAACCACCCTCCTGCCACCTGCTTCAAGATCCTCGATGATGCATGGTACGCACGAGGCAACGTTGGCAATCCTCCCAAGTGGGCAACACTTTCCCCACGTCCCTCCCCCACTGACATCCAAACCAACCCCGCTTATCTCCCCGCCCACCTCCGCCTCCTTGCTCCCCCCGCGCCCTTCCTCAACCTCCAGCAGCAGCACCTCCTGCAGCAGCAGCAGCAGCAGCAGCAGCAGCAGCAGCAGCAGCAGTTACAGCAGCTGTTTTACCCACAGCCGCAGCAGCAGCACCCATGGGGATCAGGGCCCCAGCCCCAGTGGGGACCCAGCCCTCCTCCCTGGCAGCAGCAGCAGCTAAACTTTGGCACAGCAGCCATGGCCGCCCAGGCTTCCCCAGCTCCCCTTTGGGGTGCTCCACCTCCCCCCAGTGGCACTGCCACCCCTCTCACTCAGGAAAGCTTTCTTGGCAACATTTCTGTCTCACCCTCTCTTCTTTCCATGTACCCATCCAACATTAATGAAACCACGTTCCAGTACTCCGTGTCTTCCTCCTCCTCGCCCACTCTGGACTTTGTCCTAGACAGTGGGGCCACTGAAACTGCTCTCAAAGATGCTGGTACACTCACACCCCTCTCCCCTCCCACTCAAGTTCACGGTGCTGACAGCAGCTTCACCATCCCATGCACACACCTCTCCACTCTCCCCTGCTCACTCTTCCCCTCTGGTAAGGTAACTGGTCTCCACATCCCCACTCTCCGAAACAACCTCCTCTCCCACCGTGAAATCCAAGGTGCAGGTATCACTGCGGTCTATCCTGGTAATGCCACCTACTGTGACCTTTACCATACTGCCTCCGGCCGCTTCCTCCTCCGCATACCCCTCTGCCCCCGCACTCGCCTCTACACTCTCCGCACTCCGTGGCCATCCTCCTGTCATGTCACCACTCGTGCGGGTACCTCCACTAGCCCTCCCCATCTCCCTCCCTCCCCTCCCACTCCACCATCCTCCCACTCCTTCATCCCGCCCTCACTCGTTCCAGCCCCCTCCACCTCCGACCATCTCTCCCACCCCGCTGTTCTCCTACATCACCGACTCGGCCATCCCAATTTCGCCGCTCTCCGCACTGCCGTCACCTCACGACTTCTTCACAGCCTCCCTCCCACCCTTCCTCCCCTTCCCTCCTCCCCGGCCCCCCCATGCCCCTCCTGCATCCACGGCAAACTCAAACAATCCCCTCATCACAGCCACCCCGCCTTTGCTCCTGCACCAATTGACCTCGTCCATATGGACCTCTGGGGGCCCTCTCCCACCCGCTCACGCCAAGGCCATCGCTACATGCTGGTTCTTGTTGACGATCATAGCCGCTACTCCACCGTTTTCCTCCTCCACACAAAAGATCAGGCGCCGACCATGATCATTCGCTGGGCAGAACAATGCCGCACCCACTTCAAACGTCCCATCGGCCGCCTCCACTCTGATGGGGGAGGCGAATTCCTCAATCGCACTCTCTCTCACTACTGCACCACTCATGGCATCCAACAGACCCACACTCTTCCCCACTCCCCACAGCAGAACGGCATCGCAGAAAGCCGCATCCGCGAAATCACTAAGATCGCCCGCTGTCTCCTCGCTCACGCCTCCACACCCCCTTCTCTCTGGGGCTATGCCCTCCTTCATGCTTCCCTCCTCCTCAACCTTCACTCCCATCCCCAACACACTGCCACTACCCCCACGGAGCTCTGGTCAGGGTCCAAACCTGACGCCGCTGGACTCCGTGTCTGGGGTTGCAAGGCATATGTGCTCATCCCTCCACCTGAACGCACCCACGGCAAGCTCGCTCCTCGTGCCCTCGAGTGTGTCTACCTTGGCCACAACCGCGACTCGCCCGGTTACCTTTTCCTCCACCCTCCCTCTGGTCGCCTCATCCGCAGCATCGACGTTGTGTTCGATGAGACCACCCCATACTACTCCTCCCCACCACCAGACCCCCTCCCTCCTCCTACACGTCCTCTCGCTTGGACCGACACTGTCCTCCCTCCCCTCCTCCCTCCAGCACCTCTTCTTCCACCCCTCCCCACCCCGCTTCCGCCACCTTCATCTGCCGATATCTACGATCCCACTGCTCCAACATCCCCTGCACACTCCGCAGCTCCCCCTCCCTCCTCTCCTTCCCACTCTCCTTATCATCCATCCCAGCAGCAACAGCAGCAGCCGCAGGGGCAGCAGCAGCAGCAGCAGCAGCAGCAGCAGCCGCAGGGGCAGCAGCAGCAGCCGCAACAGCAGCAGCAGCAGCAGCAGCCGCAGGGGCAGCAGCAGCAGCAGCCGCAGCAGCAGCGGCAGCAGCAGCCGCAGCAGCAGCAGCAGCAGCAGCCGCAGGGGCAGCAGCAGCAGCAGCAGCAGCAGCAGCGGCACCAGCAGCAGCCGGGGCAGTAGCAGCAGCCGCAGCAGCAGCAGCAGCAGCCGCAGGGGCAGCAGAACCAGGAGGGGCAGCAGCCGCAGCAGCAGCAGGGGTTCCAGCAGCACCAGCAGCAACAGCGGCGGAGGGCGACTGCCCGCTCCTCACCTTTCCTCCTCCCTCGCATGCACACCCGCTCTCTTGATCCCATCCTTGGCACTCCGCCACCTTCCTCCCCTAGCCAGCTCGAGGACTCCCATGAGGAGTTCGCCATGGTCCAGCGCCACACTCCCTCTCTTTCCACCCTCTACCCCGACCTCCTCGGCGCTCTACTCCTTAGCGCGATCTCCGCTCCCACCATCTTCGTCCCCACCACCTTCCAGGAAGCTATCACCTGCCCTGACGCTGACAAGTGGATAGCCGCTATCTTCCTGGAATGTGAGGCGTTCATCCGCAACGACTCCTTTATCGACGTTCCCCTTCCCCCTGACGCCAACCTTGTCGAGGGCAAGTGGATCTTTCGAGTCAAACAGCTGCCGGGAGAGGAACCAGTCTACAAAGCCCGCTATGTTGCTAAGGGGTTCACCCAGACCTGGGCTGAGGACTACTGGTTCACATTTGCCCCCACCCTCAGGCAAGCCACCCTACGCACCCTTATGGATATCGGTGCGCGGGACGACATGGAGATTGACTCCATGGACGTCTCCAACGCTTTCCTGCAAGGTGAACTGCACGAACGCATCTTTCTCCGCCGACCTCCCGGGTTCCATGCTACGTTCCCCGACAACACCGTCTGGCAGCTGAAGCGACCGGTCTACGGCCTGAAGCAGGCACCACGAGAATGGCATGCGAAGCTGTCTGCTACTCTCCAGTCCCTTGGCTTCTCCCCCTCCCACTCCGACGCCAGCCTCTTCATCCGCTCTTCCCCCAGTCGCTTCTTCATCTCGGTCTACGTCGATGACATGATCCTGCTCGCTGACACCAGGACTGACATGGATCAAGTGAAACGGTCTCTTCAGGAACGTCTCAAGTGCAAGGACCTTGGTCCCCTCCAGAACTACCTCGGCATGGCTATCACTCGTGATCGATCCGCCCGCACCATCACCCTCTCCCAGTCCCACTACATCGGCCAGGTCCTGGAAAAGTTCGAGATGGCACAAGCCAAACCAGTCTCCACACCCCTCCCCTTCGGTCACCAGCTTGCGCCACCCACCTCCCCCTCCACCTCCTCCCGGCCCTACGCCGAGCTTGTTGGGTCGCTGATGTACGCAATGATGTGCACTCGTCCCGACCTCGCCTACCCTGTCAGCGTCCTTGCTCGATTCGTCGGCCCCGGCCGCCACACTGAGGAACACTGGACTGCCGCCAAGCGAGTCCTCCGCTATCTTCGTGGCACCAGGGACCACGCTCTCACACTGGGTGGATCTTCCCCCCCCCTTCTCTCTGGCTTCAGCGACTCCTCCTGGGCAGACTGCCAGCCAGACCGCCGCTCCTCCCAAGGCTATGGCTTCACCCTCGGTAGCGGCCTCATCAGCTGGCGCTCTACTCGCTCCTCCGCCATCGCCCTCTCCTCCTGTGAAGCTGAGCTCTATGCTGGCACCATGGCCGCGCAAGAGTCCCGCTGGCTCTGCTTCCTCCTAGCTGAGCTTGGTGTTCCCCAGCGCTGCCCCACCCTCTGGTGTGACAATGCCAGCACCATCCATCTCACCCAAGACCCCGTTTTTCACGGTCGCTCCAAGCACATTGAGCTCCGCTATTTCTTCATCCGTGAACTCGTCCAACAGAATCTCATCGCCGTTCGCAAGATCGCCGCTGAAGCCAACCTGGCAGATATCTTCACCAAACCACTTCTTCGCCCTGCGCACTCTGCTCTTCTCCGCCTCATCGGCCTCGCTCCCCCAGGCGCGCCTTGATTCAGGGGTTGCTTCCCTCAAGCCTTTCCACATCTCTGCAGGTTAAGGGGTTGTGTTAGAATCTATCTTCTCTTGTAACCTGCATAGATGTTATAGGATAGGCTAGAGATAAGCACCCAAACTTAGTTTGGGTGTTCAAGCAGGGGTTACCCAATTTGTAGGTTGGAAACCCAACCTTGGTCCAATTATTGGACCCCAAAGGTTGGGTTGGGTAGAATTATTGGTTCACACCAATAATGTTGGCCCAACCCCAACTTGGCCAACATTATTGGACCCCACCAATAATTCCCCAACCTAACTTCATGGGTGGGGTCCAATAATGGTCACCTAGGCTAGGATCCAACCCATTCCCTATGTAAACCCCCATTCTCCTCAATTCAACAACAACTTCTCTTCCAACTTTTATTCTCACAATGCAGTGAGGCATGGTGATGCAGTGAGGCCATCTAGCAGCTGGCTCATGCAGCTGGTGATGCAATGTGGCATGGCCGGGGTTGAGGAGTAGAGCTTTCACAAGAAAGCTCACCGACATTCCACAAAAAGAAAGAAAGAAAAGGAGAATGAAAGACAAACAGCTTAAAAATATCAGGTGTCGTCCATTTTGCTGGAAGGGGCCCACTGATTTTGTTGTGCGCCAAATTTCTGAGGAAGAATGTGCAGCCAGAGAGGAGGGAAGAGAGGGAAAATCACGTAGGGGAAAATGTATAAAAAGGAGGCAAATCTGAGGAAGCAAGAGATGTGAGTAAGCAATGGGCATCCCAGTGCAGCTACGGCAGGGTGTGGGTGGGAGGCCACCGGAGAGGCAAACATATATGAGTGAGACGTAGTGATCCCAGTGAACCCAGTGATGGAAGGATTTCAGCACACAGCAAGCAGGATCGCACGGGCTTAAAGGGCAAGCGCCGAGCTAGTCAAACTGATTGGTCAGCAAGGAGAGGCGCGTGGGTGACGATCCACAGAAAGGATTCCATCGGACTTCACACCCCTTGGCCGATTTGGCCAACACACGGGTTGATTTCGTAAGCACAGTATGCAGTTCGACGGTTGTTGAGCGGGCTTGAAGGAAGATTGAATGATGAGTGGAACACACTTGGATGGTTCACAACGACAAGGTAGAAGAGGATGCTCCACTGACGTAGCCCCGTTTCCCAATATGTGCGCTACAGAATGCCATGAGAACAACACACTTCTGAAAGGAGGGCAGCTACTTACTACCATGCACTTATGTGCATCCACCGTGCCCCATACACCATGTCCCATGCACCATGCCCCATGCACCATGCCCCATGCCCCATGCACCATGCCCCATGCACCATGCACCATGCCCCATGCACTATGCCCCATGCACCATGCACCATGCCCCATGCACCATGCCCCATGCCCCATGCACAAAGCCCCATGCACCATGCACCATGCCGCAAGCACCGTGCCCCACGCCGCATGCACCGTGCCCCATGCCGCATGCACCGTGCCCCATGCACCATGCCGCATGCACCGTGCCCCATGCACCATGCCGCATGCACCGTGCCCCATGCACCATGCCCCATGCACCATGCCACATGCACCGTGCCCCATGCTCCATGCGCCATCCCATCCACCATGCCACACCCCTCCCCATAACCCGTAATCCATGACCCATACCCCATACCACATGCACAAACACCCATTATGTGCACAGTGCGTGCCCATGAGTCCACGCCCATGCTGCATCCATCCGCCCCATGACTCACAGATCTCCAATCGTTGTGATAGTGACCAGGTTGGTGGGGATGGTTCCACTCAGGGCATTGTTGTTCAACTGACTGCCGTGCTAGGCGCGGGGAGGTGCAAGAGGGGGCAGGGGGGGAGAGAGACAGGTGCAGAAGGAGACAAGGAGAGAAAGGAGGGACAGTAGAGGAGATGAGGGATGGAAGGGTCAAACAGGGAGGAAGAACAGGGTCGGTTGAGAAGGAGCGGCAGGCGGGATTGTTTGCACCGTGGCAAGGGTGCACCGTAGCAAGGGTGCACGTGCAGCAGGGGAGGGAGTAATGCAGTGCCCACCCTCCCTTGCAAATTTCACACTTCTCCCATATGATCCAGAAAGGCATGCTGAAGAGGTAGTTTTGCAACCTCTTAGGTGTGCGCCCTTTCTTTATTACCATAATACTATACTGCTCAGATGCTCGTCATTCATTAACACGTACAGTATTGAGTTACTAACACTTACATGGCCCTAAAAGGAGCTTTGTTCCCAACTTAGGCTGGTCATTGTAGCGTTCTAAAAGGCTAGTTTGCAGTTCTGTCTTACTTGAGAGGGGACACGGCCAGAGTTTGAGGAATCATTGTTGGGAACATGGCTAAGTAATGAGGGAGAGCTAGAGATTTTATCAGAAGAATAAAGATTCAGACTTACCAAGCTTCCGCAAAAAATGGCCTTAAAAGTGATGCATGTGACTCAGCTGAATGAGAGGGCGACAGGCCCGGTCCGTGCCACGAGCCTTTCCAGTTGGGCCAGTCCAATCCAGGCAAACCTTTACCTGGCCCTACGCTCATGTCATGTCGTCGGCTCGAGTGAGACGGTTGCATGCAATGCAATGCAGGAGGCTCACAGGAAACCGAGATTCGTCGTGGTGGTTAAAGTCGAAGGCACGGAACCCGAAAAGAGGTTGTTCTGGGCACGGCTGGGGTGACGTGATGCGATGTGATGCGATGTGATGTGATGTGATGTGATGTGATGTGATGTGATGTGATGTGATGTGATGTGATGTGATGTGATGTGATGTGATGTGATGTGATGTGATGTGATGTGATGTGATGTGATGTGATGTGATGTGATGTGATGTGATGTGATGTGATGTGATGTGATGTGATGTGATGTGGAGTGGTGTGGTGCGATGCGATGCGATGTGACGCAGCAGCAAGGCAGAAAGCGAAGCTGTGGTCTGAAAGAAGGAACACATGGCGAGAGAAGAATGGTGATGCATTAGTCTGGATGCATGGCTGGATCCAGATCGGGTGCATAGAAGGAGGAACAAACGGGGTGAGTGACAGGCATTGTGGCGCATGTCTTCCTGGAGACAACCAGGGCAAGCATACGATTACAACAAGCAAGGCCACATAGCGGGTCATGACTCTCGTGTGGCGTGGAGGAGGAGGAGCAAACTAGAGAGGAGGAGGAGGCACAGAGGGAGGCCATGAGAGGGAGAACTCACAACGATATCAGTTGGGAGAGACTCCCAAGCGTCTCTGGTAGAGATCCCGAAATCTGGTTGTTGAAAATCTCGCTGATGGAGGGCCGACAGAAGATCAGAAATGAAGCAGGTTGTTTCCAACGAGACCAGCCTTGCATGAGTGTGGTCAGCAGCGCTCAGGGCCAAGGTTGAACACGCCCACAACGAGCCATGCAATGCAAGTGTCACACACTCGTACCGCTCTCCAAGTACTGAATGCCTGATGCCAACTGCTTTAAGCCCATGTGATCGTGCATTGATGGATGGATGGATGGATGGATGGATGGATGGATGGATGGATGGATGGATGGATGGATGGATGGATGGATGGATGGATGGATGGATGGATGGATGGATGGATGGATGGATGGATGGATGGATGGATGGATGGATGGATGGATGGATGGATGGATGGATGGATGGATGGATGGATGGATGGATGGATGGATGGATGGATGGATGGATGGATGGATGGATGGATGGATGGATGGATGGATGGATGGATGGATGGATGGATGGATGGATGGATGGATGGATGGATGGATGGATGGGAGGCTGGGTGCCCTTGTCTGGCACAAGCATGAGATGCACTGTGGTTGTTGCGGCAGGCCTTACCATATTCTTAGCTCGGTCAGCTGGGTGAAGGATGCTGGGAGTGGCCCATCCAATTGGTTGTCATACAGCTGCCTGTTTTGGAGAAACAATGTGCGATGGAAAGGAGATATAGTGGGATGAGTTTGAGAGGAGTTTTCTGTGACATTCTGCACGTGAATGCCTGACGACTCTAGATTTTGTGATATGAGTATGCTTTCAAGAATCGTCAATTGGAAAGTGTGGGCTAGCAGCTGCGTTGAAGAGTGCTACAAAAACACATCGATAGGAAGGGAGAGGGCGAGAGATACAAGGTGATGAGATGACATGAGAGAGCGAGTTTGATGGGAGAAAACTAAGTCAGGGGGAGACTTTTGAGTCGACTCAATAGTCACCATGAGAGAGTTTGATGGGAGAAAACATAGTCAGGGGGAAAGGGGAGGGGGGAAGGGGAGGGGGGAAAGGGAGGGGGGAAGGGGAGGGGGGAAGGGGAGGGGGGAAGGGGAGGGGGGAAGGGAGGAAAGGAAGAGAGGCAGCCGGAAGGGGTGCGAGGAGTGGAGTGGAGGGCCTTACAGTTGATACATGTTAGTGAGAGCACCGATACCATCAGGCAGGGGCCCACTGATCTGATTGTGATTGGCGTCACTGTGTGGTGGGTGGGGCAAGGCATGAAAGGGGGTGAAACGCATGCAAGAGGAAGGCAAGAAGATTCGCAGTCGACACATAACCATTACATCACCTGGCGTAGGCTCACAGAAACGTGTGATGTGACGATAGCCAGAGACATTGTTTTTGCCGACGCAACAGGGGGATGCATGCGTGCGTGTTGCAGCAACACGACCAACTAACTGGCAGTAGGCTGACGGAAGGGCATCTCACAATAACTTGAGAGAAACGAGCTTGGTGAAGGTCGATGGGAGTGAGCCCGTTAGAAGGTTCTCGCCCATATAGCTGAGTGGGAAGAACGGAGGAGGCATGGGGAGGGAGGGGAGAGCAGTGGTGAAGAGGGAGAGAGTGAGAAAGAGAGGCAAGGCACGGGAGGTTGCTAAGATGTTTATGTGTGTGATGTGAACACTGGAGGATGAAAGTGATAGGGGGGTGATGCGGCGACCATATGACGATTCAATCTGCACCAAGGCAAAGAGGATATGGGCAATCAAGTGTCTTGACTCGAATCGCCAAGTCGAACAGAGGAGACATTTGCGTTACACTTGCCATCCCGGCATTGGACCGGATTCGGTTTGGAGAAAGCGCAGCAATACCGCTCGATGACCTTGGGGTTATTAGCGGAAAACTGGAATCTGAACACCACCAACTATGGTAATTTTAATTGTGCACCCAAACAAAGTTCGCGTGCAGAACTCTACCCAAAATCAACTCGACAAAAATTGACAAATTGGTTGGTCCGGGTGGATAGATCATACGGTTGAGCATGGGGGTGGGCTGGGCCCGGCCCAGGTCGGGGAGGCCTGAAACTGCCGCGGGCCGAACCTCTAAGTTGGGTTGTCGGCCCGGGGCGGGCCAGACATTCTGGCCCGCCGGGTCGTCGGCGGCCCGCTTCTGGCCCGCCCGCCTCGAGGCCCTGCCCAGGTCGGGCCGTTTTCTCCCGATTATGACCCCCGCAATAATTTGCTTAGTGAACTCTACTAATAAGCTCGTTTAAGTGCTGGTTGAGAAAACCCTATGAAAATCGCCTCAACTCCACACTTTTGCGGGCTCGAGAGTCGAGACCAACCCAACCTGGTTTCCCTCGAAACACCCCGTGCCCACGTGAGGGAGAGAGAGGCACAGGGGAAGTTGGGACATAAAGAATAGCGAAAGAGTACGTACAGGTATTCAAGGCTGTTGAAGACGCTAATGGTCGCAGGAAGGGAGCCTGTAAGATCGTTTTTTTTCAAGTCTCTGATCCACACAGTGCAATGAATCCACACAATGCCATTATCCACACAGTGCCATGCATCCACACAGTGCCATGCATCCACAAAGAGGCGAAGGTAAGAGTGTGAGGCTGCAGATCAGAGTCGAATAACTGAAACAGGCCAGCACAACAACGACTAGCCAAGTAATGACAGTGCACGGATCCATTCTACACAATCTGGAGTAAGCGCCGCATGCTAAGAGCCCCTTATGTCACACCACACCCAAAGAGCCTACAACAGCGAGTCAATCACATATAACGCCCGCCACAACACTGCGTCAAAACAGGGGGGTTCTTTTCCAAAGGTGCCGCGGATGCCTTTCAACTCTCGTGTAAGCCTACAGGCGTTACACCTCACGTTGTACGCGCCTCATGCCAAAAGAGATCCATTCCAGGAATGACCCACACTCACATAGTTGTCACGAGGCCAGCACCGTTGCACGTGACACTTCCGAATCCGTTGCAGTCAGCGTTCACCGCCCAGGTGTCGGTGATGGCCGGTATTATACTGCCCCACTGCGCCTTCATGTCTCGCAGCCCTGGCCCTGTGCAATGGGTTCAGCACAGTAATGGGACCAGCGCAGAGATGTGAGCGGGCAAGGGAGGGAAGGTGAGACGCAAGAGGCGAGGGACGCTTGTGCTGCGATTCCATAGGAGGGGAAAGAGGATGTCGGCGATGAGATGATGATGATGTGAACGGCATGTGCATGCGATGGCAAGGACTGGTGGTGCCTTGGGTGCACTGCAGCACACACAGTTACACACACGAACACACACGGACACGCGCGCGCACGCGCGCGCGCGCGCACACACACACACACACACACACACATGCACGAGCGCGCGCACAAACACACGCACACTCGCACTCCGCACACTCCCGCAACCACACGCTCACACTGGGTGGGGTCAAGGGGAGCAGCGTGCGCCATCATGATGGGGGGGAAGCCACGGCTGCAGCCGCTGCTGCGCCAGAAGCAGCGCTGCGCCCAACCGCCCTTCGTGAGGCCCTCGTCGCTCCCCACCATCGCCATCACCGCCACCACGCACATCACCGCCACCCGCCCAGCCACCCCCGCGCCGTCGCTCCTCCCCATCGCCCCTCGCCTCCCTTTCCGTTCCCCAACTCCGCCCGCCACTCAACGCCTCCTCACTCGCATATAAGGCGCACCACCAGCGCTCGGTCTCTGGTGACAGCTCTGACGCCGCGGGTGAATGAGCGCGGCGCGGCCTTGACTGGGCCTGCCGCCGCGCACCCGCAAACTCAGCACTGCTGCGGGAGCCGGACGATGGGAAGTACTAGTAGTAGTAGTAGTCGCGCCGCGCGGCATTACTGCCCTGCGGCAGGGGGGGGTGGGGGGGGGGGGGGGAGGGAGGGGAAGTGACGAGGAGCATCCCGTGATTGTGCTCAGTTTGTGCACGTGACGAAGCTCCAAGAGCTCGAGACGTTTGAAACACCCGCGCGACGTTTGAACATTGGCAAAAGTCACTACTAGAAGACTGGGCTACCAGAAAATTTAGTAGTGAGCCAATGACGACGATTGATTACACGCTGCGCAGGTTGCGTCACCACGACATGACTGAACCGCAGTGCGCCTTCGAAGCCTTGCTCGCAAACCGTACTCTGAGTCAGCCACAAACACCTCGAATGTGATCACCCAAGGAGTATCCCACACCTTCAGGAACGTGTCGTGTTACCCGACGTAACTTTAGGGTTACGGTTTGCGGGCCCAGCCATCGTTAACCTAACGATCCGTGGTGGTATGGACTCCCTTACCGATTTCTGAGAAGACTCCACGGTACCGATATAAGAGATTAACGCCTACCACTGGCAGGGCCTTTGCAGAGTCCCGAACACAACACGAAATCCTCCGTTGTGCCACCTGTGCGCAGGTCGCATCGTTCGCCCACCAAAATAGATTGGACACCATGTAAGCGGTAGACACATCAGTCAGGCCTTTACATGCACCGACATGAATCTGGAAACTTGTGTGCCATGCACCGACATGGATTCGGAAACTTGTGCGCCCAAAGGGGCTTCGCCCCCTCCTCCACCTTTACTGTACCTGGAAACCCGTGTGCCAGACGTGCGAATCATTTCACGATACTTGACCGAGACGTCATCCCTGACCGTATAAAAACTTTAGGGAACCAGTTTCGTTATTAATTCTGCTAAGCTGGTGATTAACTGCAAAAATCGTGCGACTAATGACGTGGCTTGATCCGTGACAGGTCAGGGACGTGGCTTGATAGTTGCCAATGTTTTGTGGCTGCCGGTATAATTAACCCAAACCTCTAGGTACACTTCAGCTATTTAAACGACAACATAGTCAACATGTACCATTGGTAGGCACTGTTCAGATGTGTCCAAAGTTTGAAGTGTACTGTAACCATGCACATAAAACATCCACGAATATAGTAAATCTGCAATCTGTACAGCACAGCAGTATTGTAAAGCCTCCAAGTACCATCACGTTTCGTGTCTACGGGCAAATATTTTTGCCACACGACCATCGCCGAAACTCCCTACAGCAAATCCGCCTCCTGACGTAGCTTCCGGAACTTCGGCCCACCATTGTGGTGGACTGGCTTGCACGAGATTTTGGGAATACAACTGTGGGCTAGCACTGTTGACGCACACGGCACCCCCCTACATCCAGTCGTCAAACCAGAAAACGCCAAAACCCAAACCAACGCCAGGTAACTCTCGACATTCAGGTACTCTACAGAAGTCAAAAAGCAGGTACGGTTGATACACTTCGTACTACGAATAAGTTCTACCTATTTGCCCACTTACTAAGCTAAGCACCTTGATAGCCGAATTATTGGTATCAACTGTCAAAATTGGACATGAATGTAACTCTGAAGCGAGTACAAATGTTGTTACAATCCCAAAGAATGGATTAGCTAGGTTCTGGCTCTCGGTTCATCCGCCTGTCACGGTGCCGATCTCGGTGTAAAGTGGGAGAGTGGAGCCGTGGATTGGCCTGCCTCACTGCAGGAGAGTTGGCTCGACCGTCTGAGGCTATGGTGCAGTCGCTGCGAGGGAAGCACCCAGCTAGCAGTGGCGAGGTACCACACTGGGTCCGTGATTTTACCGTTGACGCTCCTCAGCGGCCTCCACTCACGACCGACATCCTGGCTAGAGCTATCCACACAGCTGCTCGCGCCTCAGCTGCAGGGCCCATCGGGGTGGGTCACAGAGCATCTGCGCGACACTTTCCTCACGGAACCTTCCTGCCTTCCCCACCTGCTGGAAGTGTTCAACCAATGGGTGGCGGGACAGGTCCCCGAGCGAGCTCGGCCCTGGCTCGAAGCATTCAACCTAGTTGGGCTTTCCAAACCTAACGGCGACGTCCGGCCGGTGGCGATTGGGGAGGTGCTTCCGCGTATCCTCGCTCGAGCTCTCTGCATCTCGCTTCGCCCTGTGATGGCTTCTTATTTTCTGCCGTGTAACCAGCTGGGAGTGGGCACCAGGGCCGGGGTGGAGATTCTTACTCATTCTTTCCGGTCAGCGCTGGCCACTCACCCCGACTGGTGTGCGCTGCAGAAGATATATGTCGCGAACGCCTTCAATTCCTTTCACCGTCACCCGATGTTCGAGGGGCTGCGGGAGTCGCCTTTCTCAGGAATGATCCCATTCTTGTGTGTTTTCTTTGATACACCTAGCGACCTGTACCTCCGAGCGGGCCCTTTCGTACAGAGTCTTGAGTCGGCACGAGGATCGCGACAGGGGGACCCACACGGCCCTTTTCTTTTCGCGTTCACGCAGCAGCAGGTGATGGAGACGGTGACTAGAAGGTTCCGCGACCTACTTTTCTTGAGTTATGCAGACGATAACTACATCCTGGGACCAGCGGCAGAGTTCTGGAAGCTTTTGGGGTGCTGCGGGAGCGGTTGGAGTGGGTGGGGCTGGAGGTGCAGGCGCACAAGTGCAGGTTTTGGGAGCGTGGAGGCGGGGATATGGGGCGGGCATTGCCATTGGGGATGCTGCGGGAGGAGGAGGGTCTCACTGTGGTGGGCGTGCCTATTGGGGAGGAGGATTGGGAGGGGGCCCGATTACGGAAGCGGCTTCGCGAGTTGCAGGCGCCATTGCCGTGGCTCCCCCTGCTCGATCATCCCCAGATGGTTTCGCATCTCCTCGCTATTGCAGTTTCAGCACGACCAATGTACCTGGCCCGGACTATGCCGCCGCGTCCGGATGTGGTGGAGGCCGGACTAGAGAGTGGGTCAGCTGTCTGGAGGATTGCTTTGAGCAGCTTTTCCCCCCTGGCACTTGGGAGCAGGACCCCGGCAGGTCTAGGCGCGCACGCATGCAGCTGCATCTCCCTGTGCGCCTCGGAGGGTTTGGGATCCGGGCGGCGGCCTCTTTGAGTCCGCTCTCCTATGTTTGTGGGTGGGCGCAGGCCGCACGGGATATTGCACATTTGGGGGTGGCGGGCGAGGAGGGAGGCTGCTCTCCCAAGTCAGTCAGCAAGTAGGTGAGCCAGCGTAACTCCTGTGCAGCCATGGCTGTGGCGTAGATCTCAGCCTCACAACTGGAGCTGAGAACTGAAGACGAGCGTGTAGAACGCCACGAAACTGAACCAGAGCCAAGGCTGAAGGTGTAACCCTGTGACGACCGCTGAGTAGCCTGGTCGTCAACCCAAGAAGCGTCTGAGTGCCCAGTGAGGACAACTGGGCTCGTCCCTCCAAGCACTAGCCCCATGCCTGATGTGCTGCACAAGTAGCGCAGTACCCTCTTAGCAGCAGCCATGTGCTCAGGTCGGTGCCGACCAGGAGCCACGTAGCGAGCCAGAAGACCAAGAGGGTACGCGAGGTCAGGTCGAGTGCAAGTCATCAGGTACATGAGGCAGCCGACTAGCTCTGGGTAAGGACCACTCGGCTCTACGGACTCGTCCGAAGGTGGAGCTGAGAGCGAGTGACCTGTAGCCAGAGGAGTGGCCTGTGCTGAAGACCAGGTGAAGCCGAAGCGCTGAAGGACCTGCTGCACCATGTGTGACTGAGTCAGGGTGATGGTGCGGCGTGCTCTGTCCCGGGTGATCTGCAAGCCAAGGTAGCTGCGCAGCTCACCCAAGTCTGTGCACGTGTGTCTCTTCTGCAGCTCCGACTTCACGTGGGCGAGAGCCTCAGTGTCAGCAGTGGCAAAAACCAAGTCGTCGACGTACACGAGGATGTAGAACGGCGGCAGCGAAGTGTCGGTGCGCAGAAACAGCGATGGGTCAGCAGTAGAAGGCGCGAACCCAAGAGCCGCAAGCGTAGTCCTCAATGTGTCGTGCCACTCACGTGGCGCCTGGCGGAGACCGTAGACCGGCCGCCGGAGGCTCCACTGGGTACCAGGAAGGAACGACCCAGTGAAGCCCGGGGGGCGGCGCAGCCAGATCTCCTCGTGCAGGCTGTCCTGCAAGAAAGCTGTGCTGAAGTCAAGAGAGTGAAGCTCGTAGTCACGGTGAGCAGCAACGTGCAGCAGCACCCGAAGAGTGGTCATCTTCGGGGTGGGGGAGAAGGTCTGGAAGAAGTCTACTCCCTCTCGCTGACTGAAGCCTCGAGCAACGTAACGAGCCTTGAAGACAGGCGGAGAACCTGGCGGCCGCTTCACCCTGAAAATCCACATGCCGCTGACGATGTTCACCCCAGGAGGGGGAACCTCGTCGACGTAAGTGCCAGTGGACTTCCAGGATGCCATCTCTGTGTCCATGGCTGTCTGCCACTGAGAGGAGTACTCACCCGCGATCGCCTCAGCGTAAGAGCGCGGGTCGGGATGTCTGGTGCATCCGGGTCTCCCTCAGGGGCAAGCAGCATGGCCACGAGATGAGGCGCAGCGGCTGCAAGACACTCAAGGTCCTCGTGCCTGTCCTCAAGGACGTCCGTGCTAAGAGCACACTCACCCCCGACGGACGGAGGACAGACAGACTCAGACTCAGCAACAAGACTAGCGGCGTAGTCTAGACGACAGGCAGTAGCAAAGTCAACAAGCTCAGCAACCAAGGCAGACGCAGCAGTAGACTCAGCACGAAACCGGTAAGACTCAGGGTCCGGAATGTCAGGCAGAGAGGACGCAGGAGGAGACGACAGAGGAACAGGCTGCGGAGTAGAGGAAGGACGACGGACTACGAGGTGTGCGCTGGGGACAGCCGGCTGACGCGAACGAGGAACACGACGACTGGTACGACCAGGACGAACAGGCGAGACAGGACGCGACGCAGGCTCACGACGCTCAGTAAGACTACCTGTCGGCTCAGTGTAAGGAGAAGGAGCAGGCAGCGGAGAGCCAGGCTGTAACGGAAGACCAGTAGACGACGGGAGAGTAAGAACCTGACGAAGAACAGAGTCAGGCGGCGGCAGAGACGACGGAGACGGCGGAGCGAAGAACAGGCGTGTCGGCGCAGCTGCACCAGTACCGGCAGCTCCAGCAGCTCCAGTACCTCCAGCAGCTCCAACACCTCCAGCAGCTCCAGAAGCTCCAGCCCCAGAACCGACACCTCCAGTCCCAGGGTCTCCAACCTCAGTGTCTCCAGCAGCAGCACCCCCAGAACCAGCACCTCCAGTCCCAGGGTCTCCAGCCTCAGTGTCTCCAGCAGCAGCACCTCCAGACGCAGCACCTCCGGGACCAGCGACCCCAGCACCTCCAGTAGACAAAGTACCAGCACCACTCCTAGCTCCAGGGACGTCAGCAGAAGTACCTCCAGCAGCAGAGCCCCGAGCTCCAGCAGCGCGACCCTGACGGCGACCGTACCA